GAAAACAATGTACAAAAAATATAACAGGAAATTCTATCAATCAAACAGTCGAATGTATCAATTTTGCTATAAATTGTTTTTTAACAGTAGAATGTAAGCACAAGAGGCTTGGTCATAGATGAATTTGATTTAATATTAACGTCGCACTGTTCAGCTACACGAGGGCTTGTGGCGACCGACCACGTAATTTTGAACCATGGTCAAGTGACGTGGACGACACCTGAGCTGGCACCCCACTCTCCTAACTACTACACCAACGGGAGGACGTTTCAGCTCTCGACAGATTTAACGTGCATCGCTGCCCTACACGGCAGGTCTTTAGTGGTACTGGGCTCGAACTCGTGACAAGGCAAGCCACGATCCGATTCCTATACCACTCGGCTACCACAGCCGTTGTGGTCATAGAGGAAAGAAGATAGAAATTATCTCATAACTCAGTGTATTTTATTAACTTGCATTATACGCGGAAATAGAACTCTGGATATTTATCTTTAACAGAAAGAAATAGAGTACTTCGTAGCAAATGAATGTTTGCAAAAAAAAATAATAATAAAACTGCAATCGGTTTGAAGTTTATCTTGTGAGAATTATGTATTTTGCAATCCTACTTGACAGTTGTTTTTAATTCTGCAGATGCTGTCAAGGAATTTAATTTAAATTACGTCAAAGCTTCGCAGCAGAATTAAATGCGAAAATAAATGTGTAAATCAAATCAATAATTTATTTGTTATTGTTATGCCGAAAATCGCTGTAACACACCCTTATTTTTACAATTGCAAAACATTCTAAATTTAGGTGGAGGCGTTTAATCGAAATTCACAAGATAAAATTTACTTTACTTACTTTAATTTTAAAAACTACTTTTCTAATAAGAATAGAATAGTATTGAAATATTGGTAAGTTATTGAATTGAATAAGTAAGCAAAGTTTATATATATAATAAATGAAGAGAATTTTTGAAACTGAAAAAAAAAATTCACAGGATATATTAGTAAATATTTAGTAAGTAAGGTAAATTTAAAGTTTTAAAAATAATAGAAAGATTCTGTAAGTACAGGTGAAGTGGGGAGGGGAATGTGCTGGTAATATGGCATTCCAAAATAAATATATTTTTGAATGCTAAAATTAATGTTATTTGGCAGAATTAGAATTATTCGATAAATCTGTCAATACCGTTTGATAATTGAAATGCAAATTGGAACATTCAGGTGTTTTCTTACAACATGTTTTTTTTAAAAAAAAAATGATTTATTTCAAAAGAATTTTTTTTTTTTAAAAAAATTATGTTTTTAGAAAATTGTAGAATTTGTCTCTTAAGAGGCTCATTAAAATTTTACTGTATATGACTTCAAATAATATGTTCAATTGCTCCTTAAAGTCAATAAAAAAAAAAGAACCTAGCACCTGAAATAAGATAAAAATAATTTTTTTCCTTTCATAAAACAAGGTAAATATATTTTGTTTCGTAAGTTGTTGAAGAATATCTCTAAAGCTTTTTAAAAATACACTCCTTTTTTTAAAAAAAAGTATCTCGAAGTCGATGTTTTGAAGAAAGTTGCTGTTTATAATAAAAATAAACGTCAATAACACGATGGAGACGAAGTAAAAAAAATTTTTCTTAGGAAGGGTCTTTCCCACAGCTCATATTTCAGAATTAAACACTTTAAATTTTCTTGTTTGTTTTAAGGGGGAAACAATGTTTATGTGGGTTACGACAGTTTGGGCATTGATTATTCTGAAAAGAAAGTATAAAGATATATATAAAAATTTTATATATATTTTATTGGAACTGATCTGTTTAAAATTTCAGTATACAACAATTCTTATGGGGGAGGGTTGAACACCCTCCCCCGTTTATACGCCAATGTACATAGATAATAAAAAGATTAACGATTCAGATCCGTAAAATCAATTAATGGCTAGTAATTAAACATTAAATGTTAAAATCCACAATTGGTGAACTTCAACCTGTCGGCGAACTCTGATTGTATATATATCGATTTAAGAAGTGACAATGATTCCTATTCTCATCTTGCTACATATTCTGTCATGTATTCCTCAATCGCTCTTCAGAAATGTGACATATTGGTCACCCAAATCTGGTATAGCCTAAAATATTCCATTCAAGTTCAATTGTTGAAAAGTCTGATGAGCTTGTTGGCCAAGAAAGAGTACAATAGCCTGGAGGTAGTCCAGAGATATGCCAGGTGTATGGGATTTGACATTATCTTGTTATAAAATTGAAACAGTATGATGTACAGCAAGGGTGTCAAACTGAAAGGCAGACTTGGGCCAAATAACCAAGGATTAACTTAAAATGGGCTGCGAAAAAAAAATCAAAATTCATAGAAACGTAGGTTTATTTCTAGTAATACATTAGAATAAACATATGTAAAAGAAAAATTTAATATTTACGTCCTGATACTTGACATCTCTACTCTACTACCATCTTTCCTATTTTGGGCGAAATTTTGATATTTTATCATATACGAGTATTATTGTGTGCAATATATTGACCAGGGCGCATGCGGCCCGCGAGCCCCTGAATTTGACACCCCTGATGTACAGTGAAAGGTAATCCAAACGACTGACAGATCGCCATTGACATACCGTTGAGCTGTGCAAGTTGCACGCAGCCTTAGAACGTGCTGTTTTATAAGGGATTGGTCCCTAAATTAATGAATGGATTCAATCATACTAGACGAGTGTCTAGGATGAATACCTCTGGAGAAAGCTAGAAAAGTCACTAAAAGTCTATGTAAGGACGAAGCAGAAAAGCAAAAAGTCAATCAGAGCTTGAGAGCTAACTGTGTTGTTCATTGACCTATTGCAATACTGTGACTATGGAGTTGTATTGTTGTGAGAACTTTGAATTAGAGCTATTTTGCGGTCGCGATTGTGAAGTGGTCATGGTCACGAACTCGTAAACGTCATTATCGAGTCCTGATGCTGATGCACGTTAAATATGACATGACTCAAATACCTCTCGTTGATGTGTTGAGGAAGTTAGGAGAATGGAGTGCCGGCTCTGATACCGCACTCGTCACTTGGCCGTGGTTCAAAATTACAAGGTCCGTTGCCAAACGCTCTTGTATTGCTTTAAGTGCCACTTTAATAAATATTCACTCACTCGAGTGAGTGAATATGTACGTCGCACTTTTCAGCTACTCGAGGGCTTTTGGCGATATTCCTCGGAATTCAAGTGACGAGGACGACACCTGAGCTGGCCCCACCCTATCCCAATTACCACACCACAGCAACGGGAGGACGTTTGAACTCTCGACATATTTAATGTGCATCGCTTCCCTACACGGCGGGTCTTCAGCGGTACTAGACTCGAACTCATGACACGCCGGCCACGAGTCCGTTACCTTGACCACTAGGATACCACGGCCACTTCATTCACTTGAGCGTCACTTGACCATGGTTCAAAATTACGTGGTTCGTCGCCAAAAGCC